ACTGTAATAATGATAGACATACTGTTATACAAACACTGTAATAATGATAGACACACTGTGATACAAACACTGTAATAACGGTAGGCATACTGTTATACAAACACTGTAGTAATGATAGACACACTGTCATACAAACACTGTAGTAATGATAGACATACTGTCATACAAACACTGTAGTAATGATAGACACACTGTCATACAAACACTAGTAATGATAGACATACTGTTATACAAACACTGTAGTAATGATAGACATACTGTTATACAAACACTTTAGTAATGATAGACACACTGCTATACAAACACTGTAATAATGATAGACATACTGTTATACAAACACTGTAGTAATGATAGACATACTGTTATACAAACACTTTAGTAATGATAGACACACTGCTATACAAACACTGTAATAATGATAGACATACTGTTATACAAACACTGTAGTAATGATAGACATACTGTTATACAGTTATACAAACACTGTAATAATGATAGACATACTGTTATACAAACACTGTAATAATGATAGACATACTGTCATACAAACACTGTAGTAACGGTAGGCACACTGTGATACAAAACACTGTAATAATGATAGACACACTGTAATACAAACACTGTAATAATGATAGACACACTGTGATACAAACACTGTAATCATGATAGATACACTGTTATACAAACACTGTAATAACGATAGACACACTGTCATACAAACACTGTAATGACGATAGGCACACTGTTATACAAACACTGCAATAACGGTAGGCACACTGTTATACAAACACTGTAATAATGATAGACACACTGTTATACAAACACTGTAGTAATGATAGACATACTGTTATACAAACACTGTAGTAATGATAGACATACTGTTATACAAACACTGTAGTAATGATAGACATACTGTCATACAAACACTGTAGTAATGATAGACACACTGTCATACAAGCACTAGTAATGATAGACATACTGTTATACAAACACTGTAGTAATGATAGACATACTGTTATACAAACACTGTAGTAATGATAGACACACTGTTATACAAACACTGTAGTAATGATAGACACACTGTCATACAAACACTAGTAATGATAGACATACTGTTATACAAACACTGTAGTAATGATAGACATACTGTTATACAAACACTGTAATAATGATAGACACACTAATATACAAACACTGTAGTAATGATAGACATACTGTTATACAAACACTGTAATAATGATAGACACACTGCTATACAAACACTGTAATAATGATAGACATACTGTTATACAAACACTGTAATAATGATAGACATACTGTTATACAAACACTGTAGTAATGATAGACATACTGTTATACAAACACTGTAGTAATGATAGACACACTGTTATACAAACACTGTAGTAATGATAGACACACTGTCATACAAACACTAGTAATGATAGACATACTGTTATACAAACACTGTAGTAATGATAGACATACTGTTATACAAACACTGTAATAATGATAGACACACTAATATACAAACACTGTAGTAATGATAGACATACTGTTATACAAACACTGTAATAATGATAGACACACTGCTATACAAACACTGTAATAATGATAGACACACTGCTATACAAACACTGTAATAATAATAGACATACTGTTATACAAACACTGTATTAATGATAGACATACTGTTATACAAACACTGTAGTAATGATAGACATACTGTTATACAAACACTGTAATAATGATAGACATACAGTTATACAAACACTGTAATAATGATAGCCATACTGTTATACAAACACTGTAATAACGATAGACACGCTGTTATACAAACACTGTAATAATGATAGACACACTGTGATACAAACACTGTAATAATGATAGACATACTGTTATACAAACACTGTAATAATGATAGACATACTGTTATACAAACACTGTAATAACGATAGACACACTGTGATACAAACACTGTAATAATGATAGACACACTGTCATACAGTTATACAAACACTGTAATAATGATAGACATACAGTTATACAAACACTGTAATAATGATAGACATACTGTTATACAAACACTGTAATAATGATAGACATACTGTTATACAAACACTGTAATAATGATAGACACACTGCTATACAAACACTGTAATAATGATAGACATACTGTTATACAAACACTGTAGTAATGATAGACATACTGTTATACAAACACTGTAGTAATGATAGACATACAGTTATACAAACACTGTAATAATGATAGACATACTGTTATACAAACACTGTAGTAATGATAGACATACAGTTATACAAACACTGTAATAATGATAGACATACTGTTATACAAACACTGTAATAATGATAGACACACTGTTATACAAACACTGTAATAATGACAGACACACTGTTATACAAACACTGTAGTAATGATAGACATACTGTTATACAGTTATACAAACACTGTAATAATGATAGACATACTGTTATACAAACACTGTAATAATGATAGACATACTGTTATACAAACACTGTAGTAATGATAGACACACTGTTATACAAACACTGTAATAATGATAGACACACTGTTATACAAACACTGTAATAATGATAGACATACTGTTATACAAACACTGTAATAACGATAGACACACTGTCATACAAACACTGTAATAATGATAGACATACTGTTATACAAACACTGTAATAACGATAGACACACTGTCATACAAACACTGTAATAATGATAGACATACTGTCATACAAACACTGTAGTAATGATAGACACACTGTTATACAAACACTGAAATAACGATAGACACACTGTCATACAAACACTGTAATGACGATAGGCACACTGTTATACAAACACTGCAATAACGGTAGGCACACTGTGATACAAACACTGTAATCATGATAGATACACTGTTATACAAACACTGTATTAATGATAGACACACTGTTATACAAACACTGTAATAATGATAGACACACTGTGATACAAACACTGTAATAACGACAGGCATACTGTTATACAAACACTGTATTAATGATAGACACACATTTATACAAACACTGTAGTAATGATAGACACACTGTTATACAAACACTGTAGTAATGATAGACATACTGTAATACAAACACTGTAATAATGATAGACACACTGCTATACAAACACTGTAATAATGATAGACATACTGTTATACAAACACTGTATTAATGATAGACACATTTATACAAACACTGTAATAATGATAGACACACTGTTATACAAACACTGTAATAATGATAGACACACTGTGATACAAACACTGTAATAATGATAGACATACTGTTATACAAACACTGTAATAATGATAGACATACTGTTATACAAACACTGTAATAATGATAGACATACTGTTATACAAACACTGTATTAATGATAGACACATTTATACAAACACTGTAATAATGATAGACACACTGTTATACAAACACTGTAATAATGATAGACACACTGTGATACAAACACTGTAGTAATGATAGACATACTGTCATACTGTTATACAAACACTGTAATAATGATAGACATACTGTTATACAAACACTGTAATAATGATAGACACACTGTGATACAAACACTGTAGTAATGATAGACATACTGTCATACTGTTATACAAACACTGTAATAATGATAGACACACTGTGATACAAACACTGTAGTAATGATAGACATACTGTCATACTGTAATACAAACACTGTAATAATGATAAACACTGTATTAATGATAGACACATTTATACAAACACTGTAATAATGATAGACACACTGTTATACAAACACTGTAGTAATGATAGACACACTGTTATACAAACACTGTAGTAATGATAGACACACTGTTATACAAACACTGTAATAATGATAGACATACTGTTATACAAACACTGTAATAATGATAGACATACTGTCATACAAACACTGTAATAATGATAGACATACTGTCATACAAACACTGTAATAATGATAGACATACTGTTATACAAACACTGTAATAATGATAGACACACTGTTATACAAACACTGTAATAATGATAGACACACTGTTATACAAACACTGTAATAATGATAGACATACTGTTATACAAACACTGTAATAATGATAGACATACTGTTATACAAACACTGTAATAATGATAGACATACTGTTATACAAACACTGTAATAATGATAGACATACTGTTATACAAACACTGTAATAATGATAGACATACTGTTATACAAACACTGTATTAATGATAGACACATTTATACAAACACTGTAATAATGATAGACACACTGTTATACAAACACTGTAATAATGATAGACACACTGTGATACAAACACTGTAGTAATGATAGACATACTGTCATACTGTTATACAAACACTGTAATAATGATAGACACACTGTTATACAGTTATACAAACACTGTAATAACGATAGGCATACTGTTATACAAACACTGTAATAACGATAGACACGCTGTTATAACGAGAGACAAACTGTTATATCGATAAATACACTATTATAATGATAGTCACACTGTTATACAAACACTGTAATAACGATAGACACGCTGTTATAACGATAGACAAACTGTTATATCGATAAATACATTATTATAATGATAGATACAGTATTATTACGGTAGATCAATTGTTACAACTAGATAATTGTCATCATCAGGTTTGTACAGGGAATATCATAACTTTGTCTAAAGTACATTTAACTTTAAACCATAATGTTTTATGATTCCCATCTCTGGTTATTAACAACTTCGGTGCAAATTTGTTTCGCAGATTTTAATTTCTGTCCTTTATGTGATAAGTGTGTGAAAACCATTCAATAGACGTAATAGATATTTACCGGCAGATCGACATCATCAAAACAACTACTGAAGACCAAATATTGATAAGTTGAGTCTATATGGAGAATGCAATGTACGGACTTAAAACTTGTTATATGTTGTTTTAGGTGAAGGATGGAAACACGGACCAGAATGAACTCCTTCCCGCCACATGCGGCACCGTCACTAACCAGGTGGTCACCTCTTCAGGTCGCTGGCTATGGGTAGAGTTTACCAGCGATGGGGCCGTCAACACGCACGCTCTGTACATGGTTCTTACCACTGTAGCCGCAAGTAAGGACACCAACTTCTCATTCTTAGATCGGATTTGAATGGTCCAGCTAGAGATGATGGTCACCATTATACCTTAAATAACAAAATGTATCACACTTCATCAAGTAGACATTATTAAATATGCCAATTAATTAGAACACATTGTAGTTATAGTTTATGTCAAATAAGTCGTGGATACAAATCGATATACAGTTTGAATCAGCAGTAAATACATTCATTTTCATTTATTATGTTTTAATTAATTTATTGAATTTTCCAGCGCATTCGATGGCTAACCTCACCGATCCTCTGGCAGGTAAGCCGTTTTGTACATTAACATTCATCATTAATCTATTGTCTTCACAGCCATCTGGTATACCATATTTAGTCAATAAATTATGATACTGTATATATATCCGATAGAACAAAAGATTGCACGTCATCCTTCTTCACTGTCATTAAGTCTAGTTGGAGTCCAATTGGTTCTATTTTAAGATAACACACATTATATGTTTATTATATAGAATTAAGGTTCTATTATTTGTGGTCAAAACACTTTGTACAACCTCTCACTTTTCCAACCAAACATTGAGCTATGTTCTGACTGTGTCCATTGTAACGGTACATATCACGCCAACAAGCACCTATTTCATTCATTACAAACTGCTACACTTGTTACCTACGCTTCACTTTTCACCTCAGTACCAATACGCTTCACAATGGTTATTCTTCTGATGAAGGTGATGGTGTATTGTCATCGAAACGTCAAATTTTTCTCTCTCTGTTTGTGGAACAAGAAATATTCTACAGTATGCAAAGGGAATAAGTAAAGGAAAGTCTTCTCAATACGTGTTTGATGTTTAAATAATATAAAATTATTTCATACCAAAACGATCAGGATTATGGTTCGGACAACTCCTGGGCTGTACCTTTTTTTATGTGGAGTTTGAATTTTCCAACCTTTTGGATTTAAAAAACTGCGACAGGAAATATTTTGCCGTGTTGCTGCTACGTTTACTGGTGTTAGCGTTATTATTCCCGGATAGTCCATTTTTGTATCACATATTTATATAAGTTAAACTTTCCAGTGCTACTGTGATATTAATTACGTTTAAGAATTAAGAAAAAAGTATTTTAACAGTTGACAAGAATATGAGTAATGTTTGGGATTACCATTGGAAATAGATTATACAGAACATGAAAGTTGTCCTGTTTTAAAAGTGATTACAATTACATATTCATGCACATTTAATAAAATCCGTAATGAAACCAGACCACGTGAAATAAAATCTTAATCGTCATTAAAGTGATTTCACTGAGCCGTGTGCAAATATACCAATACAGCTAATGGAATTATCGACCTGTAACATTAAAACATGTTTAATGATAGTGTGATACATGCCCACAGTAGACATCACAACTGTGTAGTAGTAGCATGTCTACCTCAGACCTAATCTGTATTGTCACATTAAAACTGCCTACATCACATCAGACCTGATCTGTATTATAACATTAGAACTGCCTACATCACATCAGACCTAATCTGTATTGTAACATTAAAACTGTCTACATCACATCAGATTTAATCTGTATTGTAACATTAAAAGATGTCTACGTTTACTGTCATCACCACGGTACCTGTAGATGTACATTTACATACTGTCATCACCACGGTACCTGTAGATGTACATTTTACATACTGTCATCACCACGGTACCTGTAGATATACTGTCATCACCACGGTACCTGTAGATATACATTAATGCCATCACCACGGTACCTGTAGATATACATTAATGCCATCACCACGGTACCTGTAGATATACATTTACTGTCATCACAACGGTACCTGTAGATATACATTTACTCTCATCACCACGGTACCTGTAGATATACATTTACTCTCATCACCACGGTACCTGTAGATATACTGTCATCACCACGTTACCTGTAGATATACTGTCATCACCACGTTACCTGTAGATATACTGTCATCACCACGGTACCTGTAGATATACTGTCATCACCACGTTACCTGTAGATATACTGTCATCACCACGGTACCTGTAGATATACTGTCATCACCACGGTACCTGTAGATATACTGTCATCACCATGGTACCTGTAGATATACTGTCATCACAACTGTACCTGTAGATCTACTGTCATCACCACGGTACCTGTAGATCTACTGTCATCACCACGTTACCTGTAGATATACATTTACTGTCATCACCACGGTACCTGTAGATATACATTTACTGTCATCACCACGGTACCTGTACATTTACTGTCATCACCACGGTACCTGTAGATATACTGTCATCACCACGGGACCTGTAGATATACATTTGCTGTCATCACCACGGTACCTGTAGATATACTGTCATCACCACGGTACCTGTAGATATACATTTACTGTCATCACCACGGTACCTGTAGATATACTGTCATCACCACGGTACCTGTAGATATACTTTCATCACAACTGTACCTGTAGATCTACTGTCATCACCACGGTACCTGTAGATCTACTGTCATCACCACGTTACCTGTAGATATACATTTACTGTCATCACCACGTTACCTGTAGATATACATTTACTGTCATCACCACGGTACCTGTAGATATACATTTACTGTCATCACCACGGTACCTGTACATTTACTGTCATCACCACGGTACCTGTAGATATACTGTCATCACCACGGTACCTGTAGATATACATTTACTGTCATCACCACGGTACCTGTAGATATACTGTCATCACCACGGTACCTGTAGATATACATTTACTGTCATCACCACGGTACCTGTAGATATACTGTCATCACCACGGTACCTGTAGATCTACTGTCATCACCACGGTACCTGTAGATATACATTTACTGTCATTACCACGGTACCTGTAGATATACTGTCATCACCACGTTACCTGTAGATATACATTTACTGTCATCACCACGGTACCTGTAGATATACATTTACTGTCATCACCACGGTACCTGTAGATATACTGTCATCACCACGGTACGTGTAGATATACTGTCATCACCACGGTACCTGTAGATATACATTTACTGTCATTACCACGGTACCTGTAGATATACATTTACTGTCATCGCCACGGTACCTGGTAATATTGGTGAACGATCATACTTGTATCGTCATTTCTTAATATCTAGTGGTGCTTTAGTCTATATGTTCACCGCTATATGGTATTCTTGTAAACAATTTCCATTCGGAAGGTTTAACTGCTAATGCTTCAAGGATATCCATTGTATTGGCACGTTAATAAGAGAAAAAAATCATCGATACCTGGCTGTTTCGCTTATGTGTTAAACTCTTCACCATTGTACATAGGGTAGTTAAAACTCGTGAAGTGGGTGTGTATTACTTGTGAACACATGTACACCCAAGTACTGGTGGCACTTAAAACACCTGAACGTGGACAATATAAGTCTGTGTTATGGCGGAAATCAACAGTGGTTTGTGATAGAGTATTGAGACTGTATAAACACGGAATGATCACACGGAGCTGTGTATATAGTGATGTACCCAGAGCGATAACTACCTGCTTCTGTTGTGGATATATCCTTGGATATTAAGAATATGATATTACGTTTCATCACTACAAAACTATGTGTAATATTTCATCTGATCGTTGATTACTGGTTACTGCTGTGTATAATTGGCAGCCATGTTGATATCATTTCAGCGTGTAAATCGTTCGAATTTCAATGCTCCAACTTTGTGTGTTTACCACGGGCTTACCTCTGTGATGGATTCAATGACTGTGGCTGCGAGAAAGACTGTGACGAATCAGATTGTATTGGTCTCGGGTTCGGTAAGTAATTTATCATGAAAAACTCTTGAATTACATAATTAGATAAATATAACGACAAAATCCAAAACCACAATTTTTATTTTGGCACTGAATACTAGAACATGGATTGGTACATTAATTAATGTGTTTTTTTCAAGGACAACAGTTAGCTATGCAAAAGATTCATGGCTAGAAGGTGTTACATAATCATAGAGGCACCTGTAAAGAATGATATCTTGGGACTGGCACGTTAAACACGATCACGTGTCTCAATAGGAATCGCATGCGGGCAACTAAATAAAAACAAAATACCAACATGTCAACACAATCATAATCTTAACTCAAATTCAATAAAACTAGGGTGAAACAAGAAAATACCAACATGTCAACACAATCATAATCTTAACTCAAATTCAATAAAACTAGGGTGAAACAAGAAAATACCAACATGTCAACACAATCATAATCCAAACTTGGGGTAAAATATGAACAACAGAAACATTTACACGGAAACCCATGAAAAATTACCAGAAGAAAAAGACCAGGTGTTCATGAAGAGTAAGCTTCTGTAATAGTTACATGAAGCCTGGAATCCTATTGATGAAGTAATCTACGGAAGTTGAAATCATTTTTACTTTTTTATCCTTCTGTGAAATAAACTATGGAAACTGCGTATTCCTGCGATTAAATACGGAAACCTGGGATCGATCGTTGAGTTCATCGTGAACTTTTACTACTTCTATAAAACAAGTTACGAAAACAGGACATTTTCTCGGTAAATTAATCTACAGAAGCTAAGTATTTCCTCGACTTAATAAGCTACGGGAGCCTGGGATCTTTGAGATCATCGTGACTTTGTAATTCTGTAAAATAAACTAAGGGAGCTTGGGATAAGCTGCAGGAGCCTATGACTCTCATGGTAAGATAAGCAATGCAAGCCTGGGATCATTGAGATAATTATGACTATTTAATCCCTCGGTATAACAGAACTATAAAATCATTGTTGTAACGTCTTAATATGGTCAACGCACGATCAGACCACTGTTACCTACCGGTACGGTATAAGGCGTACATAAGGATGTCTGGAGTTAGGTAGTCAGTGCAAAACATACATCAGAATACAGCTAGGTGGGAATATACACATAGAATGAGGCGGTATACATAGTTATGTATTTGACGGGGCCAACGATGAATGACAGTAATTGGATTACAAATCATGAACGGTAGTTGGGCCGGATAAGCATAGAATTAATCGTTTACTTAACATTGATTGAATTAGTTCTCTAGAAAAAAACCATATAATTGATCAGGCCACAAAAATACGGAACTGGATTTCAGTTGGATACACAGAGAATAACTTGGTTTACCTAAAATTAGAATCAAATGAATTACGTAAATATCGCATAGAAATGAATACACAACACAGTTGGTGTCGGAGTATGTAATCATGGGACTCACTAAGGCTACAAAATAAAACATGTTTTATAAATCAACTTATCAGCATCTTGAAGTAAATAAACAATAAGGAATGATCTATAAACTGAATTACTGGTGTCTATAAAGCTACACCACTTGGAACTATTCGGTGAAGTAACAACATGTTGAGGTCATTATTGTTTCTGCACGCCACTATATGTATCATAAAGTTCGTTCTCGTAATGTAGTTCCGGTATTTTTTATTGATGCAATTTAACATCATATCTTAACAGTATTTTATTTTGATATCTCTTATTGCAAATATTGTTAATAGTCATGAAAACCTCACCAAGGCTTACATGCTGGATGTTATCGATGAAGCAAAAATGTTAACATTCACTTGTTTGAAGCATGTAATCTCTCTTGTATTTGTTTAGAGGTCGCCATGGTAATCTTTCTTCTGATAATATTTTGGCCTCTTTTCATTGATCTTTACATTTTAAATTCAAATTTAGATTTTGTTGATATATTTGTTGTTCTTGTAATTAACATTAATTAATTCTGGTGTGGTTTCAGAATCGCTCACACTACTGGGCATGTCAGCGGGGATTGGGGTAGGAGTATTCATACTCATCTTCATCTTTGTGTGGTTGTGGGAGAGACGACGCCGGCGAATAGCCAAACAAAAGGAGAGAGAGGATAGAATGAAGGAAGAAGGAAGAGGTCGATCCTCCAAGAACAAGAAGGATGACAAGAAAGATAAAAAGGCTAAGGTGGCATGGCATAAATGATGTCGCTATTACATTGTTATCTCAGTCACGTTCTCAGGGTGTGATGTCTTATACCATCTACCGTCAGTACACATTGTCAGTCATAGTTTCTGTGACAGTTTGATAACTTCAATGGGTCTGTGTTCGTGTCGTGAAATTAATAGTTTGCATTAAAATTAAACATCAGATTCTGAACATTAGATATGAGACTTAATACACGGATGGAATCTGTGTTAGACTTGAGTTAACCGGTTAGGGTTTTGAAAGAGTCTTACTAAGCAAGTGTTTATCGGAAGGTCATGGCAGCATTCGTTAAGATACAATCCTACTCTGAAGGGGACAGTGTAATCCTACATGACAAACACTTGTTTCTGATGTACTGATATACCACGTGATGTACTGATATACCACGTGGTGTACTGATATATCACGTGGTGTACTGATATATCATATGGTGCAGGTCCCACGTAATGAGCTCGAAATACGACACTGATATTAAAGTGACCAATCGAGAGCTTGAATGACCGCAGTGAAGGCTCAGTCCTCGTGATCATTTGTCGTAACTGTTAATTGTCTGTAATAACACTGCTATTGTGTTGGCTGTGGTGGAGCGGGGAGGGTGGGATGGGGTGGGGTTAGGGTACAGGGTAAGTGGAGGGGGCGGGGCAGGAATTATAAGATATACATCGTGAGCATAATTACTAAGTATTGTAATGTGATATCTGTCATATGAACCATTGTTATGTAAATCCTGCATGTGCCAAACTCCATGTATGTTAAGGGTTTGTTTTCTGTACATTTTCGTGACGACCCGTTCTTTATCTATCATGTTCAACAACAGTTGAAAGTTTTGCTTTTGTTTGAATAGTCTTTTTGGGGATTTATTTATTTCCTTTATCACTTTGTCATATAGTTTAATTGTTTAGTAATTATTCTGAAGTTCACTGTTAATTGATACAAGATGCTAATTACCAGTGACACGTGGACTTTATAATGGTAAGAAATAAATCGAGAGATACACACTATGTCTAAACTGACATGTAATCCTTGGTAATCAAAGTGTCAGTCGGTCTTCCATTTGACGTCAGGTTGATAACATCACAACCACTTAGCAAGTTAGTTTTCTAGAACTTTTTGTCGTGTGAGTACCGTGGTTTTATGTTTGAAGTTGTGTATTTTTTGAAGGCCAAGATAAGTTTATGACGTACAACGAATTGAAATTCTGATTTAAAGAGTCACGTTTGAAAGTTAGAAAAATGTTGATGGTCTGAATTTATTGATATATGAACACTGCAGCTCAGCAACTAACTTCCACACGTTTGGGAATGCCGAAATCATCTGATTATGTAACAATGCATACTTGTAGTACACCTGTACTCCGCCTGACAAAAGGTGTGGTGTTGTTGGAGTCTACGGAACCCATCCTTTATTGTTCAAATTAGATTCAATTTTCCCTCTCGACTGTATAATTATGGAATGCTGTCAGTTATATTTATCAGTGGTCTACAGACTATTAACTTAAAGAACTGAATTAAAATGGCTGCTTAATTATCCTGATTAAATAATTAATGCCCTGTAATCGCCCACCTACATTGGGAGTTTACCTAGTCAAATTTGGATATTTACAGGTAAAAATATATTCGCTATAGAGTACCCTGTCCTTTCTGGCAATACATAATTTGCCATTTTATTGGTAGTAGATATTAACAAACATTTTATCTAGAGCAATGCATCTTGATTTTGTGCGTTAATTGGGAGGTAAAACTTTATGTGTGACAGCTGGTGTGTCGCCATTGTCGCGGGAAATAAAAAAAGTCACCGTTTTATCGCGAAAAACAACTTTGTCCCCGTATGGATTGTTTTTGTTAAATTGGCCATATTTATCAATAAATACAGCCATGATACCAATAAAGTTGTTTTGTTTTTGTGTGTAAGAAAGAAACGTTATCATCCGGTATATTGATTTTGAATTATATTCTTAGACGAAACCATAATGATACATGTTATGATTTACCATTAGGTTTAATCCAATCTTTTTAAACCTACATAAATAAACAGCAATACGCCTCCATCGCTAGCCCCATTAGGAGTTGAATCTGATGTTTGTAAGTGCTGATATAAACAGGAATTATTTTTCTACGATTTCATAACTGATTCCAATGCTTTGTTCTATTTTTCAGAGAAAAAAGACGGAGATATATTGGGTGAGCTGAGCTGGGCTGAGGCGATATCTATTTTTTAGTTTTTACAACTGTCTGTGAACTGAAATCTAGAAACGTTTTTCTTCTAAACATGCCCTTATGTAAAAGTCTCGTGACGTTTTTCTTCTACCAAATGCGCCCTTATGTAATCTGGTGAATTTTTTCTTCACATGTCCTCAAGTTAAATTTAAGGACATTTTGTCTTCTGAACATGCTCTTATTTAAAATCTAGAGACGTTTTCCTCTGAAGATGAACTAAAGTTAAATCTAAGGATTTCTTTTCTAAACATGCTGTTATGTAAAATCTAGAGGCATTTTCTTCTGAAGATGAACTAAAGTTGAATATAAGGATTTCTTTTCTAAACAGGCTCTTATGTAAAATCTAGAGACGTTTTCCTCTGAAGATGAACCAAAGTTAAATCAAAGGATTTTTTTTCTAGACAGACTCTTATGTAAAATTTAGAGACGTTTTCCTCTGAAGATGAACTAAATTTGAATATAAGAACGTTTCTCTAAACACTTCATCTTATACTTATTCGGATGTTCTTCACACCATGCGAGGATCAGTATGATAAGGGTTAAACTCTGGCTTTATATCAATATATATTTATATACAAATTCCCAGAGCAGTTCTTCTAGTGTAACTGACCCGTCGTTAAATACTAATCCTACATACTGTCATTACGTATGAAGACATTACCTGTAAAAGGGCAGTTATTAAGGACAACAAAATTACTGGAATACTATACTGTATAGTTATTGATTGAACCGTAAAATAAACGGGTTTATGGCTACTAGCCAAACCTTAACCATTATCATACTGCATGCTACTTAATACAGGGGAAATAACTGTGATAAGACCTGGAATAATATAGATTATAATGCATGTTGTGATATGTAAAATCAGGTTGCTTGTTTCGACTGATATGTGATTTTTTTATGATTTTAATGTTATGTTTGTGTTACTGAATGGTTTTATCCAGTTGATTCGGCTCAGCCACAAAATTTCAACATTAATTATGCCAGAACATTAAAACTTGTGTACCTATGTTCATCACTAGTCGCACCAGCAACCTGCTTTTTCATGATGATATAACCAAGTTATTTCACAGATGCCTGTCCAGTGATGATCAATGACCAACCTCTGCTGAAGCCAACTGCATTCCTCTCTCTTGCTTGATCTATTGACAAATCGTCATTTTTTTTTTTTTTTTTGACGACTGTAACCAACCTTTCTCTGTTACCAATAGTTCCGTGGTGAACAGATAACAAACAAAACACGTGAATCCTAATTACGATGATGATAAGAACTTCGGTCTCAATGTCTCTGGAGAACCTACAATATCGTCATAGAAAATATCTTTATATTTACACAGTTTTATCGTCATCGATTGGTTACCATTGAAACACAGAAAGTTGTTTGCCGTCTAAGATATTATATTGTAAATCATCTAATATTGAAAGATTCCTTCAGTGGGCTAAATTGTTCCCTCTGGTCTGTGTTAATTTCCCACTACGAAACAAACTCGTCGTTTTATGGAGTTTTTGTTGATGTTTGGTGTATATAAAGTACCCCTGTCCCCCAACAACATGGTGATTTACAGTATAACATTAAATGCTTTCTTCCTGCTTGATTGTCGTCTCGACGTTCGGAATGATTCTTTTCAGCATGATATTAGAAAACATAATACATTTTGACAACTCCGTAAATGCATGCGCTGTAACTCGGTTGTTTCCAAGAAATTATTTAAAATCCGTGACATAGGCATCTGCCTAGCAACCTTAAAACTAGAAGACAGAAACTCTTTAACATCTGGATGGTCTCAGCAATAACGATAACACCAACAGAAAATATTACTTTACAAAATTTTCCTAACTACAGAAATATCAATACATTTAAAATACAAACCATTTCATTAAAGTAAAAACGATACACATCAACGAGGCGTGAAAAGTCGAGGATCCCTCCTAGATCTGATGTAAACTTCTGTAGGGTTCTGTTTATCACATTTATAATTTTCTTAACAACTGTTTTTCTTTAAATTGCTGTAAATTCCTCGCGGCGATATTTTCTTTCATTTATTTTTCTTTGGTGAAGTTTCATCGTCACGATGGAATGGGAATATTTAGCAAAACACAGCTCTGCTAGGTACACCAGCATATGTGTAATCTAACAAGGTCATTACACTGAGAACAGAAATGTTTTACATTGAGAACAGAAAAGTTTTGTGCTGTATAACGATATCTCACAACATCTTCCTGACCACAGCAGTATTAATACCTGACAAACATCGCTCTGCTTCAGTAACAGAACGTCGTGAAACACAATACAATAATTTCTTAAAAAAAGGAATAATTCATGACCTACTACTCTATCCTGTGTTAACGTATCGGTCAAAACTTATAACCGATATAACTTCAAACCACTACCAGAACTGGAAGATATTTTGTGAGAATACCTTTAGAGACTAGTTATGATAATTTCCATATTTAACCGATATGTTTGTGTGGCATTACGTTTAGTTTTGTTCCTACGCAAAAGATATATATGGTACAGTTTTCTAGTGATAATAAGCTGTTCGTCACCAGAGGACATTTTCAGCAATATGTTGTGACATGAAGTATCTAGCAGATATATTTTTGTCACAGCGATATTTTTTCTTCAGAACCATTTTATTTCATATAGTAAAATATGTATTTGTCACGTGGCGAGTGGATACCTGTGTGAGTGCTGTGCTGCTGTCTTGTTCATGTTGAGAATGTTTTCGAGGAGTGTTAGAGAACCATCAATGTTTATTTACAGCCGATGTGAGGCACTGATTGTACCCACGTGTATGAGAGTGATGTTATGTCTTCCGTTGTTATAAATTGTGATGCACATACCAGAGAAACATCTTCTATTTCTCTTCCGGACAAAGATGTAGTGTTAGAGACTATCTTTGATGAAAACCTTAGACTCTCATAGTCTCGTAATAGGGAGAGTTTAAGAAAGGATCTATGGAACAAACTTTGAAAGAACTTAGTATTAAATGTATTGCTACAAATCTTGCCCTATTGGTGTTTAAGGAATAGATATAAGGAAGGAAATGTACGCTGAACAGTTTACTATAGAAATATCGACTCTTTGTAATGTGTACACACACTTTTGGAGGATTTTAGTACAACGGGTTTGCATACAACGGCATTCGTCTATCTGTTTGGGAAGGATGATGACAATTTTGCGACTATCGACGAAAAACAAAAAATCGAAAGTTTGTTTTGATGAAGAAACGCAAAGAGCATTTCTTATTGTATGAATGAATATCCCTGCGAACGTATGAATGTCTAAGTTGTGAATGTTTACATATGATGTCTTTGTTAACACCCACTAGTGATATTGCAACATTACCTGTGCAATGCATGTGTGCGAACAAAAATGTCTGGGTACGTGCCTTGTGCAGGTCCGTTTTTTATAGTATCATACGTACATGTATCATATATTAGTTTATTTTAGTACAATTGTATGGATGTCGGTACTAACGGTGAAGTTATGGTACCAACTAAAGTTATTTTATATTTTATATTAGTAGTAATTTAAAGTGTTTATATGATCACACTTGTCTTTAAAAAGTGCTCTATATGTGCACGTGCGACGTATGTATTTGTTGATATGTTTTGCGCATGTTCGCACTTGTTATGTATATTTGCACGTGTGATCCTTGTATAATGATTGTGTATGTGTGTGCATTACATTTCGTGTGATCGTAACCACATGCACTCTGCATGTTTTCACATTTGATAAGTGTGATGCACGTGCATGATGTTTTAGATACTTTGTATCACATGAGAGGCGTGAACATTTTACATCGTGTCACAGTCTATATCATCATACGGTTTCATCTGCGTTACAAATAATGTAAAACTCGGAATTGGTTTTCAACGTGTGTTCAATTTCAGACATGCTTTCGTTGACTGGCGTGAATTCTCTTATCACTATGATAATATGATGTGTTTATGATAATATGATATGTTTATGACAATATGTAAAACACAACAAAAAAAGTCTTCAGACACAAAAATTGTATTAAAATTTCCTTCATAAGATCAGCAAATACCATGAAAGACTCCTGACATTGGCGGTGGATAATGAACGACATAGGTACATGTGACATAGAGGATTTTGGTAAATAAAAGTTTTCACTGAAGGCACCAATATACATGGTACACGTCACAAAGAAGGAAATTACAGTTGTATCTGATATCATCAGTGTTTGTGTCTGAGAAATGTATATTAATGAAATAAAGGCTTGTGATATGATGTGATTTAAATTGTTATGTATTTTGTTTACTGTCTTTATTGATATATATATAATGTATGTCACTTTACTTCCCCGGTAGTGTTTATACAGGTACCGCCATCTACCATCTCCTGGTGATGGGACCTGCGGGATATTTACAACAATAATACTATGTAGCAGCATTGTAAACAATTACATTTAAACCAGAGTTCTGGTGTTAATTTCTAACAGAAAAAGAAATACATGCAGTCCACGCCAATTATACCATTAAAGGTAGGATTGAATTACTGTCCTATTGTCTTGTCCTACTGTCGGATCACCGCTTTCCTGCTGTAAGTTGTGTGACCCTCAACAATACCTCACGTCTCTTAATGACCAATGTTAAAGGTTCGCTACATGTTATGCTTTAGGATGTAGACACTAGAAGTAAAGAACTCCTGGACGATATGATGTTTAACATATCGTACAACCGTTATTTCGAACTTAAACAGTATCTGCAAAACATAACAAAACGAACGTTTTACTGTGACTGGATGAAATCTATATTGTAAACTAGAGTACACACATCACATTAACAGAAATCAATATTCCATTCTGTACTGATCAATGTCGGTGTTGTGTATGTTTTATTGTGTAAATAAAGTTATCTTTTGAAACAAGCTGCTTTATACAAACTGCGACATTAAAATGCCATATGTTGAAGGTTATGTTATCAATTCTGATAAACACTTCGGAAAATTCAGACTTATGAAAACAAGTCCGCAAGGAGATGGACATCAGAATCGCAGACCCCATTCCTACTGGAGATAAAGAATGACATTTTTATGTTTATGTGGAGTGGCTTGTCCATCTCTGAATGGTAGAGGTTCACAAAAGTAGATCTATAAAACATCAGACGTTGTGGAGTGGCATGTCTATCTCTGAATGGTAAAGGTTCACTAAAGTTTACCTATAAAACAACAGACGTTGTGGAGTGACATGTCTATCTCTGAATGGTAAAGGTTCACTAAAGTTTACCTATAAAACAACAGACGTTGTGGAGTGACATGTCTATCTCTGAATGGTGAAGGTTCACTAAAGTTTACCTATAAAACAACAGACGTTGTGGAGTGGCATGTCTATCTCTGAATGGTAAAGGTTCACTAAAGTTTACATATAAAACAACAGACGTTGTGGAGTGGCATGTCTATCTCTGAATGGTAAAGGTTCACTAAAGTTTACCTATAAAACAACAGACGTTGTGGAGTGGCATGTCTATCTCTGAATGGTGAAGGTTCACTAAAGTTTACCTATAAAACAACAGACGTTGTTGAGTGGCATGTCTATCTCTGAATGGTAAAGGTTCACTAAAGTTTACCTATAAAACAACAGACGTTGTTGAGTGGCATGTCTATCTCTGAATGGTAAAGGTTCACTAAAGTTTACCTATAAAACAACAGACGTTGTGGAGTGGCATGTCTATCTCTGAATGGTAAAGGTTCACTGAAGTTTACCTATAAAACAACAGACGTTGTGGGGTGGCATGTCTATCTCTGAATGGTAAAGGTTCACTAAAGTTTACCTATAAAACAACAGACGTTGTGGAGTGGCATGTCTATCTCTGAATGGTAAAAGTTCACTAAAGTTTACCTATAAAACAACAGACGTTGTGGGGTGGCATGTCTATCTCTGAATGGTAAAGGTTCACTAAAGTTTACCGATAAAACATCAGACGTTGTGGAGTGGCATGTCTATCTCTGAATGGTAACGGTTCACTTACGTAGATCTATAAAACAACAGACGTTGTGGAGTGGCATGTCTATCTCTGAATGGTAAAGGTTCACTAAAGTTTACCTATAAAACAACAGACGTTGTGGAGTGGCTTGTCTATCTCTGAATGGTAAAGGTTCACTAAAGTTTATCTATAAAACAACAGACGTTGTGGAGTGGCTTCGACCAGAGATCATGACAGGAGACATCCGAAGTTGTCGGTACGTTTTTTACAAGTGGTGATTTGGATTTATGTATTATTCTCTTCCGAATTATCCAGTAATGTAAGGAGACAATACCTAGTGACGTAATTTTGTTTTATTTATTTTCTTATGTGTATCACTGAAGTTGATCCCTGGATTGAGAATATCTACGACTCTAACGGTTATCGTCTGTCATTACCGATAAACTAACACTCCCGTGTTGATGCTGTCATCTGCCTCAATCGGAAAGATGGCCCAGGCTAGCGTCAGAAGTCATGGGTATATTGAGGATTAGATGATGAAAGGTGCTCCGTAAAAAGTGATGCGTTAACATAACCATTATTTCAGAAATGCGGTTTACACGCTGAACTCCACGTGTCTGAATGCTTGTATCCCAATGGAAAGTAACTGTGAACTCAAGACAGCCAATCTTCTGTATTCTTATAAATCTTAAATTTTCGTAAGACGAAGAAAATTAACTAGTCAAACAACAATTTCATACCTCTATTCTCCGACTCTAACATTTGTAGACACTCAATTTCAAAAGATCCGAAAATGAAATGTTTTACTTACACAAACATTAACAAAATTGGTTTTGTTTTCCTTAAAGGGGACGGTTTTTCACTGGTGAACGTTTTGCGGAGAAAACTTTTTTCTACAAGATGAAACTAATTCATTTTTTTCTTATTCCAAGAAACAAACTTCACCTTCAAAAGTATAACTCTCTGTATGTCAATTTTCAGAACACAAACTCACACATTCAAAATATTTAATATACAAAAGCTGTCTGTACCAAACATCTTAATAGAGAGAGGTTGTCTGTACCAAACATCTTAATATATAGAAGTTGTCTGTACCAAACATCTTAATAGAGAGAGGTTGTCTGTACCAAACATCTTAACATATAGAAGTTGTCTGTACCAAACATCTTAATATGTAGAAGTTGTCTGTACCAAACATCTTAATATGTAGAAGTTGTCTGTACCAAACATCTTAATATATAGAAGTTGTCTGTACCAAACATCTTAATATGTAGAAGTTGTCTGTACCAAACATCTTAATATGTAGAAGTTGTCTGTACCAAACATCTTAATATGTAGAAGTTGTCTGTACCAAACATCTTAATATATAGAAGTTGTCTGTACCAAACATCTTAATAGAGAGAAGTTGTCTGTACCAAACATCTTAATATGTAGAAGTTGTCTGTACCAAACATCTTAATATGTAGAAGTTGTCTGTACCAAACTTCTTAGATATGTAGAAGTTGTCTGTACCAAACATCTTAATATATAGAAGTTGTCTGTACCAAACATCTTAATATATAGAAGTTGTCTGTACCAAACATCTTAATATATAGAAGTTGTCTGTACCAAACATCTTAATATACAAAAGCTGTCTGTACCAAACATCTTAATATATAGAAGTTGTCTGTACCAAACATCTTAATATATAGACGTTGTCTGTACTAAACATCTTAATATATAGAAGTTGTCTGTACCAAACATCTTAATATATAGACGTTGTCTGTACCAAACATCTTAATATACAAAAGCTGTCTGTACCAAATATCTTAATATATAGAAGTTGTCTGTACCAAACATCTTAATATACAAAAGCTGTCTGTACCAAATATCTTAATATATAGAAGTTGTCTGTACCAAACATCTTAATATACAAAAGCTGTCTGTACCAAACATCTTAATATACAAAAGCTGTCTGTACCAAACATCTTAATATATAGAAGTTGTCTGTACCAAACATCTTAATATATAGAAGTTGTCTGTACCAAACATCTTAATATATAGAAGTTGTCTGTACCAAAGATCTTAATAGAGAGAGGTTGTCTGTACCAAACATCTTAACATATAGAAGTTGTCTGTACCAAACATCTTAATATACAAAAGCTGTCTGTACCAAACATCTTAATATATAGAAGTTGTATGTACCAAACATCTTAATATACAAAAGCTGTCTGTACCAAACATCTTAATATATAGAAGTTGTCTGTACCAAACATCTTAATATGTAGAAGTTGTCTGTACCAAACATCTTAATATATAGAAGTTGTATGTACCAAACATCTTAATATACAAAAGCTGTCTGTACCAAACATCTTAATATATAGACGGTGTCTGTACCAAATATCTTAATATATAGAAGTTGTCTGTACCAAACATCTTAATAGAGAGAGGTTGTCTATACCATTATAGCATTATATGCAAATCTCATTAAACCACACCAAATTAGTTTATTACATTCTCAATAAAATCAATTTATACCATAAAATACCGGGATGAAATTGTGTGTTTAACCATACGGCCTAATACCAGATTTAGAAAGGCAATTTCTACCGGAACAATTGTGCAGGTTTATTGAGGAAACTACTTAATAAAACACC